AAAGTGCCGTTTCCATGTTTGCAGCAAGGAATTCTCTTTTGAACTAGCAGTGCTCCGAAAACAGCATGTGACAGTAAGAATATCTGAGCACGATATCCGAAACAGGCAGGTAAGATCAGGTTTTTGTCAAACAGCCCCACACTTTGTGGGCGCCGAGACCGCAGAAACATCTGGGAGGCTGGAAATGGCTTGAATGGCAAGGTAATGATAACCAGTTAGCAAGCCTGCTATTCATTAAGGGCAACTTGAACTCACTGTAGTTTTTCAAACCAAAATATTCTCATAATTACTGTAAAACCAGACTTTCGAAGCAGGCTAATCACACGGTATGTTACGGGCATTTGGGCCTGGCAATGGAGCCTGTAAAAATATTAAAGAAGAGAGGAATGTTGTATCACCACACAAATACAAAGGCAGCCCCTATGTGGGTTGGATCTGCCAGAAATCACACGGTCCTCATTTAACATTGCATAAAAAGTAATGGATTTATAAACAAACGCCATCTCTTACATATGTGCAAATACAAGTGGGCTGATGGAATGTGTTCTAATGTCAGTTGTGTGTTCCTGTACAGTATGTTTCATATGAAACAGCTTTTTTTCTTAATGTCTCAAGCATTTCATGATTTATTTGTTTTTTAAAAATCGCTTACAATCATGCTGAGCACTTTTTCCTGTGCTTACCCTTCTTTCAACTTATTATCATTATTAATGTATCATTTGACTTTCATGCAAGCACCTCAAGGTGATGTACAATAAAAACAGTTAAAAGCAGATAAAAACACAAAAAAAGCAAATACGTTCAAGACAAAACAATTTAGCAAACACCTGGACACCCATGGCACAGGCCCATTCACCCAGTTGGGAAAGCTTGAAACAAAAACGTTTTCAATTCCGCCCCCCCCCCCCGAAAAGTGTGGGTGATGGGCTCCTGTTATATCTTGACAGGCATGCTATTCCACAGAACGAACCATCATCCCTTCAGAAAAGACTTCAAGAATGGCACATTTTCCCTAATTTACTTTCACGTCTCCTAGACATACGAAGCTTCAGAGAGAGGCACCAACTGCCTAGGCCCTTCTCCTCTGTCCTCTTCCATTTATAGCCCAATGCTGCTCTGAAAATTGAGAACCAGTTCATGCATGCACAAACATCATTTGATTTCTCACAATTTGATTATATGGCCCATGTCAACTTGCCCCAGAATCTATGAATGGGCTCAGCTGAACGGCAAGGGATCCCCAGACCTCTTTGTGAGGATTGATCTGTGATAACTCATTCACACGTGTAAATTGTCATTTGACGCTGCAGTCACCACACAATCAGCGTGAACCAGGCCTTGGTGATAAAGTAGGCAATATCACATTATCCTGGCTTCAGTTCATAACTTACAATACTACTGCTTCCCACTGAAAGTCTCCCTTCCCCTTCTACTCAATCTCTACTCCCAAACATTTCGTTTTTCCTGCTGGCTGTCCTAAGACCAAACCTAGAGAGCTGTTTTGTACATACCCTTCAACATTTCTCCAATGAAAATGGGGCCATCCGATATTATTATTATTATTATTATTATTATTATTATTATTATTAATACCCGCCCATCTGACTGGGTTGCCTCAGCAACTCTGGGCATCTTCTAACATACATAAACACATAATAAAATATTAAACATAAAATAAAAACCTTCCCTGTACAGGGCTGCCTTCAGATGTCTTCTAAAGATTGTATAGCTACTTACTGTATCTCCTAGGCTTGGGGAGTCACATGACTCCACACCATCCAACATTTATCCAATGAAAATAGGGATGTCCTAAGAAAAAGTGGGACATTCTGGGATCAAATCAGAAACTGGGGTGGCTTCTGTGCCCCTGGAAAATAGGAACACTTGGAAGGTCTGCAATCTCTACTCCCAAACATACCTCTAACTTTTCTTTTACTGCCGGCTGTCCTAAGACCGAACCTAGAGAGCTCTTTTGTGAGCTCACCAAAAAGCCGACACAACCAGCCTGTGGTCCAGCAAGGAAGAAGGCAGGAAGATGCAACAGCATCGGTTGTCTATATTAGGTGGGAGCAATTCTCCATTGTTTCAGACCAGGAATCTGTTCCAGGCTTGTCTGGAGTCACAAGGGATTGAACCTGGAATCTTTTGCACTGAAATCATGTGTGATGGCCTTTTGCTAAAGGTCAGGCCTTGATATGCAGCAAACCTATGCATGCTCAACACTCTCTAGCCAGAAAGGCCTTCTTTGTATTGTGCATTCTCTACAAAGGCTTTTTAAAGAGGAAGGTTTCAGGGCACCACCGGATTTCATGAAGAGTTGTTTGCAAAAACATTTCCCATTCTTATTTGGCAAAGGCTTTACTTGACACGCCTCCTTTCCTCCCTTTGACCACTTTCGCCTTCAATCATCTCTTCTTCTTCTTTATCTTTTGATATCCTTTCTCCTAGGACTAAGTCAAATGGTCTGTTTAAGTGGTTTTCGGAACAAAAGAAATATATCTTATCTAAGCTTGTCTGATATGATAAGGTAATACAACTGTGATAATCTTATAGAATCATAGATCTGGAAAAAATTTAAAAGTCAATTCTGCCAGGCAGGAAAATTTTCCTTTTGGTATGTCGGAAATGTGCTTTTGCAATACAGACCACTACAGAAAGCAATTGGATTGTAACACTACCTTAAAATGGTAAAGGAGGCCTATGACACCCACAATTATCACAAAAGAAATTCAGTATGCTGTATGATGCCATCGCATGCTCCTGGTTCCTCACGATACTTTGTGAGTTCCCAGACAGCCTGAAAATGATTGGCCCCAATCCATTAAAATCAGTGGGGAAAACCTAGTCATGAATAACTGACTAGTCTCATAGCATTAGGGTTGTGTCCCAATTGTTCTAGTGAGAGTAGACTAGGGTTTCCCAAACTGTTTCTGGAGCAGGGTCTCAACTGTTTATTTTGGACGACAACTCCCATCATCCCTAGCTAGTAGGACTAGTGTCCAAAAACAACTGGAGACCCGAGTTTGGGAAACCCTGGAGTAGACCCACTGAAATCAACGAAACTGAGTTAGTCATGTCCATTGATTTTCCGTGGATTTCCTCTGAGAAGGGCTAGCATTGGATACAACCGCTAGCTATGATTAATTGAGACCATTAATCCTGTAGAATACAATCAGCTGCCTTATGCTAAGACCATTGATACATCTGTACTGTCATCAGTTGGGGACCCTGGTTTTGACTGGAGCAGCAGCTCTGGGGAGGGGATATTTAACCCCACCCCCATCTATCCTGTTTTCCTTATCTAAAGTGCCCACAATTGTATTTGGGCACTTTTCCAGTACAGTGGTACCTCAGGTTAAGTACTTAATTCGTTCCGAAGGTCTGTTTTTAACCTGAAACTGTTCTTAACCCGAAGCACCACTTTATCTAATGGGGCGTCCTGCTGCTGCTGTGCCGCCGGAGCCCGATTTCTGTTCTTATCCTGAAGCAAAGTTCTTAACCCGAGGTAATATTTCTGGGTTAGTGGAGTCTGTAACCTGAAGCATATGTGACCTGAGGTACCACTGTAGGCATTTACAGCAGCAGAGCGTGTTTTCATGGCACTTTTTAAATGAGGAAAATGAGGAAACATGACAGAGCAGTGGGCATAGGAAATAAGTCAGCCTCTTTCTTTCTCCCACAGCCACTTTCCTCGATTGCCTTGCTAGAGATGCTTGCTTATATTTGACTCCCCTCTCTCCTCTTTAGCCGAACCCCTGCCAAAACGGTGGCATTTGCTATTCAATCTGGGATGACTTCACTTGCACCTGCCCACCAAATACAGCTGGCAAAGCCTGCGAGGAAGTAAAATGGTGCGAACTCAGTCCGTGCCCCCATGAAGCCCAATGCCAGCGGGTGCATCGAGGATTTGAATGCAAGTATTCCCCTCTCCCCACCCCTGAAAAACCCTAACGCCCAACCCCCATCTCCTTAACTTTGAGGGACTAAGGCAGAACAGGGTTAATTTTTTCCACAAGTGTTTCAGGCTTTCCCAATCCTTGTGATGCATTTATTGGGGCATTTGTTGCTGTACATAGCACCACTCTGAAGTTGAGTGTTTCTTAGCAACTTCATTCACCTTACACTGCAGGAGAGAATTTGCTAAGCGGTAGCATTACTGGGTGCAAAAACAGGTAGGCATTAGGGGGACTGAGGCATTGTGCAGCCACTACACTAGAAACACACTGTTAGGGTCCCTTATAAGAACACTGGACAAAAATCCAGTCATTTATCCAGGCATCTCTGTTGCCTTTTCAGCACCCGCTAAACCAGAGGTGGATTTAGGGCCGCATGACTCATTCCACCACACTGGGCACTGAGCCTAGAGGGCGTTGCAGGGTGCTGCGGGATGCGGGTGATGCTGTGGTCTAAACCACAGAGCCTCTAGGGCTTGCCGATCAGAAAGTCGGCGGTTCAAATCCTCGCAATGGAGACAACTCCCATTGCTCTGTCCCAGTTTCTGCCAACCTAGCAGTTTGAAAGCACATCAGTGCAAGTAGATAAATAGGTACCGCTGCAGCGGGAAGGTAAACACCGTTTCCGTGAGCTCTGGTTTCCATAACGGTGTCCCATTGTGCCAGAAGCAGTTTAGTCATGCTGGCCACATGACCTGGAAAGCTGTCTGTGGACAAACGTCGACTCCCTTGGCCTGAAAGCGAGAAGAGCGCCGCAACCCCATAGTCACCTTTGACTGGACTTAACTATCCAGGGGTCCTTTACCTTTTTTGCAGGGTGCTGGAACTATGACATGGTGAATTGAGAACTCTCTCTCTCTTTCCATATATATCCCTCTATCACCATTTTATCTCAATCTTCCATCCATATACTGAGAGGGTGTTTGTTTGCATTTTTTATGGCTATAAAAGCAATCCAGGGCACTAAGCTATCTTGCCAGTATATAAAGGCAAAGAACAAAAAGTTAAATAAAATGTAATGCGCATGACTAAGTACACCACTCCTAGATGCTTAATGCCTTTTGCTATCTCTACACAGGTATTGCCAATGCAATTTTTAGCGGCAGGAGCAGTGCAATATTTTACAGAAGCAATGGGAACATCAGCAGGGACCTCACCAACATAACCTTTGGCTTTCGGACTCGGGACTCCGACGTAATCCTGCTTTACGCAGAAAAGGAGCCAGAGTTTGTCACCATCCGCATCCAGAATGCCAAACTTGTGTTCCAGTTGCAAAGTGGCAACAGCTTGTATACGCTGAGCCTGGCTAGCTCGCGGCCGGTGAATGATGGGATCCTGCACCAGGTGACCTTCTCAATGATGGAGCCCTTATCTCAGTCCTCGAGATGGCTCATGGATATAAATGACAAGGAAGACATCACAACAAGTATGGTTGCCACAGGAAACCTCAACTTCTTGAGAGAAGAGACAGATATCTACCTTGCTGACAAAGCTTTTGATAACCTGGACGGGCTCAGAGGATGCATGAGCACTGTGGAAATTGGTGGCATCCACCTCTCCTACTTTGAAACCATTGATGGCTATATGAAGAAACCACAGGAAGAGCAGTTCCTCAAGATATCGGCCAACCCCGTCGTCACTGGCTGCCTTCCACTGGACGCTTGCAGCTCAAACCCTTGCATGCACAACGGGATATGCGAAGACTTCTACTCTTATTATAGTTGCACGTGCGCCGAGGGGTGGACTGGAACCCACTGCGAAACCAACATTGATGAGTGTGCATCGAATCCCTGTGTGCACGGAAACTGCAGCGACAGAGTCGCAATGTACAAGTGCATATGTGATCTGGGCTACACGGGGTCGAGGTGCGAAGAAGACATTGACGACTGCCGGGGCCATCTGTGTGCAAATGGGGCCACCTGTGTTGATGAGATTAACGGCTATTCCTGCCTATGTGCCGGGAATTTCACCGGAAGGTTTTGCAGGTACTGTCCTGAAGCCTGATGAAGAAATTCACCCGCTACAGTATCAGTCGCTTCCGATCTCTTAAATGAGGCAGTGATTAAAAGCTGAACAAACCTCTGGGTTAGCAATTGCACTACTAAGAGTTGCATGGTGAGGAAATCAGGTAACGTCGTGGGCACCCTCAGTCTTATAAATGTCCATCATTGTGAATGGTGCTTTGCTCCCAGATAAGTGTACATAGGTCTTGTTCTTTTCTAATAGCGTTTAAAGCAGGGTTTCCCAAACTTAGGTCTCCAGTTGTTTTTGGACTACAACTCCCATCATCCTTAGCTAGCAGGACCAGTGGTCAGGGATGGTGGGAATTGTAGTCCAAAAAAACCAGTGGAGACCTAAGTTTGGGAAACTTTGTCTACACAGATAGAGATTTAGCACTGAATCAGAACTAATGGTAATCAGGTTTTCCGTGGATTGTTGTTTGTTCAAATTTAGTGCTAAATTTGTGGGTTTTCCAGGGGAAAGTAGCAGGGCGAAGGCAAAACCATGCAGACTCATGCCCAGAGAGAAGTGCATAGCAAAATTTGGAGGTGTGAATTTCAAAGGATAGCTGTGTTTCAGCTCACACATTGCTTTCGAAATTGAGAATTAGGTGAGTTGACGTTAAAATCATACCCCAGTGTTTCTCAAACTTGCTGTTTGACTACATCATCCCTGACCACTGGTCCTGCTAGCTAGGGATGACGATGGGAGTTGTTTGTCCAACAGCCGGGGATCCAAGTTTGAGAAACACTGTCCTAACCAAACCTGATTTCTTCTCCATCCCTACTTACAAGGAAACATGTACAGTGAGAGGGGGAAGTATTGGATCCCCTGCTAAATTTGCACGTTTGCTCTCTGATGAAGAAATGACCAGTCCATAATTTTAATGATAGGTTTATTGTACCTATGAGAGACAGAATAACAACAGGAAAACCCCCAGAAACCCAGAAGACAAAAGTCAGAGATTGAGGTGCAAAATAATAGGGGAAAGTGATTTTGTAGTCTTACCACTGTTGTTTTGCTTTAGATATATACGGCTACCGTCTACAGTGTGCGGGAATGAGATCAAAAATATTACCTGTTACAACTATGGCAACTGTTCCGAGCTCCAAGGACTCTTGGAATGCATGTGCCTCCCAGGCTTTACAGGACGGCGGTGAGATTATTATAATAATCACAATTTTTTTCATATCAATTTTTTTTTCCATGCGGTAATTTGACTCACTAGAAACAGGAGCAGGGCTTTTTTTCAGCTGGAACTCACCAGAACACAGTTCCGGCACTTCTCAGGAGGGCGCCATTGCCATTTTAAGAGAGCAAGGAAGCTGTTCATGGCGAGTCCTGGCATTTATTTTTCTAAAATAAAACAGCACTGTATCTCCAGTCAATCCCGGAAAACACTGGGTTCTAAAAAGAAACATTAGGTTCTATTCACCACTAAATAACCTTTCTCTTATTTCATTTGTAACCGAGCAACAGGAGCTCACCCCGTCGCGGGGATTCGAACTGCCAACCTTCTGATCGGCAAGTCCTAGGCTCTGTGGTTTAACTCACAGCGCCACCCGCGTCCTAATGGCTAGTGTCTAATGGCTGCATTAGACAGTTTATATCAAATCTAATTTAGGCGGTGGGTGGGGTTTGGGGAAGGGGGGACCCCACAGGCAAGGCCTCTACAACCCCTGCCCTAGTTAAGCCATCTAGCAGAGCCAAGGATTTCAGTGAGCCATTGAAAGTGGCCTCAGGCCTGTATACCTGAAGGAGTGTCTCCACCCCCATCGTTCAGCCCAAACACTGAGGTCCATGTGCAAGGGCCTTCTGGCGGTTCCCTCACTGCGAGAAGTGAAGTTACAGGCAGAGGGTCTTCTCCCTTTGGACCGCCCTACCATCAGATGTCACGGAGATAAAGAACTACACAACTTTTAGAAGACATCTGAAGGCAGCCCTGTATAGGGACATTGTTAATGTTTTCATATGTGTTGGAGGGGCAACCCAGCCAGATGGGCAGGGTATAAATAATAAAGTTAATTTATACCACCGTCTTACCTTTTCCATTCACATTAGTGAGTAGTTGGCCCGTGTATTTACCTTTAAAAAAATAATCTTGCAGATGTGAAGTGGACATCAACGAGTGCACCTCTGACCCGTGCCTCAACGGGGGTCTCTGCCAGAACCTGCTCAACAAATTCAACTGCATCTGTGACTTGAACTACGCCGGCGATCGCTGCGAGATAGACGTAAGCGACCTCTCCTTCTTTGTCTCTCTCTTGTTGTGGCAGAACCTCTTTCAACTTCTCTCCTACCTCATTCTGCGCATGGATGACGACCCAGCAGTGGAGTGGGGGGAACAGGACGACTACTAGCAGTCAGATTGGGGGCGTCGTTTTTAAAGCCGTCAGAGCACAATGGAAGATTGGCCAAACAAGTACAGCTAGGCTGGGAATCAGAACAGCGAGGGTAACCATAATCACACGCTGATTGAGAGAGCCAGTGTGGTGTAGTGGTTAAGAGCAGTAGTCTCGTAATCTGGGGAACCGGGTTCGCGTCTCCGCTCCTCCACATGCAGCTGCTGGGTGACCTTGGGCCAGTCACGCTTCTCTGAAGTCTCTCAGCCCCACTCACCTCACAGAGTGTTTGTTGTGGGGGAGGAAGGGAAAGGAGAATGTTAGCCGCTTTGAGATTCCTAAAGGGGAGTGAAAGGCGGGATATCAAATCCAAACTCTTCTTCTTCTTCTTGATTCTGTTTCTCTAACATTTTGAGCATATTTAAAATGTGCATTATTTGGTGCCCTGATTCTGATGGAGAGGCTGTGAAGTAGATTCTTGGTGCAGTTCAGCTTTTAATGTGAGATGAAAGCAAAACATCCCTAAAGCAAGTTTTTGATATTTCAAAAGAATAGCTGCATCTTCTTTTTGCTCTGGAATAGCTTAGCAGTTTGGATTTGAGATACTTCCCGTTTGTATAGCGCTTTCCCACAAAATTGTGGCTGAAGTGGCTCACAGCATAACTATTCGAAACATGCTAGGTATGGTTGTAATCCTAGTATCAGTAAATACAGAAAATGTTTAAAAGATCAATCCATAAAATATCGTGTGAAAACAATGTAAATAAGCTAGCCTCATAATAGAGTCATAGAACATTAAGAGTTGAGAAGAAATTTGGAGGCCAGAGTTCTTCCACCTTGGCTCGCTGGATGTTGTTGGGCTACAATTCCCATCAACTGTAGTCCAGTAACATCCAAAGACCAAACGTTGAAGAGGTCAGATCGGCGACATATAAATAATAATTATTATTATAGCTTTCTTATACATTATACTGTTAAATCTGTTTTGATGATTTTTGTGATTTTTTTATTATTATTTACGTTGGTTGCAAATTGCTTTGTACCAAAAAGGACTTAAGCAATCAATTTAATAATCCTATGAAACTTTAAAAACCACCCTGCGATCTTCAGAAGGGCAGTATATAAATTTAATCAAAAATAATATTAATGTCTGCTAGCGCAGGAGCAAAAACAAGAGGTAAACTAACTTGTTTATTAGTTGAATTAAATCTTTAAATGATAAATCCCCCTTCCTCTTCCCACCCCAAATCACAATTTGGCTTTGGTACCAAAGAACAAATGTACCACCAATGCTCTGAAGTTCTTACGAATGGAAAAAGTCGTGTATCGTGCAATTGAGTAAAACACATTCTCTCAGCCACCACTGATAATATAAACTAATTACTGGGCTGTAACAGGTAAACAGGTGTAATCCAGATATTTTGGAATACATCTCCCTTTGCTGGCAGAGGCTGATGTGAGTTGCAGTCCAGGGCACCAGGATTTCATTTTTATTTATTTGTATACCACATTTCAGACTACACAGCCCTCCCAAGGGGGTGTTTGCCTCATTCCTAAAAGACTCTTCACCCCTTATATTTCCAGCCAATCAATCACTGTGCTATGCCAGTGCAAGTCTCCTGAAGACCCCAGCCTATCAAGAAGTCCTTTCCACATAATGTAGAAATCGGATCTTTATTGTTGTGGCACCTGCCCTTTGGAATGGACTCCCCTTGAATATTAGACATTAGATAAGCCTTCTAAGTTTAGATCTTTCCCGGCCTACATCTTTATTGGAATAGTTTCAAAAGATGTTTTTTGTAGTTTTATCACTTGTTGTTTGCTGTGCTGGACTTCTTTGGGAGGAAGCGTAGGGTTACAGATTTATTAAATAAATCTGTATAAAATACACAATCCGTGTAAAACCAGGGCCTTTTTTTGCAGAAGGAACTCAGTTCCGGCACCTCTCAGGTAGACACCATTGGCATTTAAGAGAACAAGCAAAGCATTCATGGCGAGTTCTGGCACCTCTTTTTCTAAAAAAAAAAATAGCACTGTCACAAATTAAATAACGCCACATTACATACAGCAATAAATAAGACCAGCAGGGGCAGGTTGGAAACTCCACACCCAGTGTACCCAACGGCCTGGGTGAACAGATACATTTTTCACTGGTGCCGGAAACCCATTGGGATTTGTGAGGGAAGGGCATCCCACACGGTTGGAGAAGGTTGCCTTAGAGATTGTCATAGCTGAAGCATACTATTTTTTAACTCCATTACAAAAGAGCTCAGAGCTGATTGCCATAGATAAGATTTCTTTATAGGCACATAAGGGAAAGAATAGAAACTTGAACGAGAGCTAAGCACCACAAAGGGATCTACAAAAGCAAGGTGCATTTTAGGTTGGTGTAAGGAAACATGGAATTTGGAAACTTTGAACTCTCAGGGGCATTTCCCTTGCATACTGTGCTGCTATTTCATGAGATGAAAAATAGATCAAGCACAAAAACCATATAAGATCGACACGGAGCGTATAAATAACCCTCTGAATATTTGTGGAGAGCTAGAAGCCTGATATCGGAGGGAAACTGTATACGTATGATGTGTCTTATGTGATCACTAACACAATACTGAAAAGCCGCATTCTAGTCTTATTGAACTGTATACATGCTGTTAATACTGGTGTTGTCAATGCAACCCTGCAGACTGTCGCTTTCTTTAACCACCTTGTCATCAAGAGCATCTTCTGTCTTCACACATGCTTGTTTGTCCTTCTCTTTGTGAATGTGTATTCTTCAGCTACATTGTGTGTCTGTGTGGGCATCTGCATGCACTTAGCTTTCTTGTCTTTGTACATAACAATAAACCTTCTGCCTTTGTCATGTTACATCTCCCTTTTGCATTTTTGTTTGTGCTGTTGCCTGCATTCTCATTTGCTTCCTGTGCGTCGGGAATCTGCTACCCAGAAAGCCGAAGTTCAGTCCCCCCAACGCCGCCTTCCGCCCAACCCCTGAGGTGTGCGATTGCTTAAACATCTCCCGAGACTTGTCTCTTCCAAGTAAGGAGACTATCATCCGCCCTCCCTGAGGACGGAAAGCCTTCATTTCCAGAATACATTTGGTGCCTGCTATTTTGATTTCACCAAATGTCATCAGAAAAAGAGAAACCACTTGGGATTTTTATCTGCTTAAATTTTAATTTCTCTTTCTTCCTCATTTCCCTCCCCCCAGTCGCCCACCAAAAGCTAAAAGAAGAGTGCATCAGAACAATATGTATCTGACTCAATTACTATCCTGAGTCAGCAACAATATCATAACGGTTGAGGTTGTATACTTTGCCCAAGTGAATAAATAATTTAGTTCTCCCATACCTCTGAATGCTTTGCAGTTACTAGAGACTCAGGTGGCCACAGTGGCCCGGAGTGCCTTCCATAAATTTCGGTGGGTGGCCCCGCTGTGCCCCTGTCTGGACAGGGATAGCCTAAAGACTGTCAGTTATGCTCTAGTAACCTCTAGGTTAGATTACTGCAGTGTGTTACACACGCCCTCCAACATTGCTCCAATGAAAAAAGGGACATTCTATTCTACATCAAGAGGTTTCTCTGGCATTTGATGGCCTGCACAAAATTATACATTGGTCACCTTGAGGAAATTGCAACCTTTCCGCCCAACCTACCTCACAAGATTGTTGTAAAGAAAAAATGTGCGAGGAAAGGGATCGTGTATGACAGCTTCAACAGATAAATGGAATGGAATTTTAGCTGTAGGCTGCCTTGAGTCTCTGCCGGGGGAAAAGATGAGATATAATTAATAATAATAAATAATACTAATAATAATTGGAGGAGGAAAGGAAGAAGAAGAAACTGAGACTGATCAGGAACATACCTGAGTAAATCCTATTGAACTCAGTGGGACTTAGTTCTGAGTAAAAATGCTTAGGGTTGTAGTGTAAGGCTGCACAGCGTTTACCCAGTTACCTGGGAGTAAGCTCCATTAAATACAGTGGGACTTACTTTTGAAGGCTTGCAGTTTAAGGCTCCATTTACGATAAAGAAATAAACACTCCATGCATTCCTAAAAAATGGCTGGCTGCTGAAGCATTGCCATTCAAGAATTTAAAGTGGACTGGTGACATTTTCCTTCAAAATTATAGGAAGGGGTTCACATGCCAGGTTCACCATTTCCTGTGTGATACATGGTATGTAGGGAGAAAAGCTTCTCCCTCCCTCATGATATGAGAACCCGTTTAATCAAACAATGCTCAATTGTGGGAGATCCAGGCAGATAAAAAAGGGAAGGAAATAATTCTTCACACAGAACATAGTTATTATAATTATGATTGATTGACTAATCACATTCAAAACAACCATCTCAAGGCAATGTGAACTCTATATATATATATTTTTAAAAAATAGCAAATGCATTTGAAACAAGACTTCCGAAGTAGACACCCATGGTAAAGACCCATTTATCTGGGAAAGCTTTTGAAACAAAAACGTCTTCAATTGTTTACAGAAAGTGCAGGTGATGGGCACCTGTCGTATCACGAGAGGAATGCTGTTCCACAGAACAGGGGCAGCCACACACAAAAATCCTGCTCCAAGTTACTGCAGAGCAGACTTCTGAGATCTTTGGAACTTGCATGAGAAACTCTTCCACAGACCACAGAGATTTACTGGGCGTGTAAGGGATAAGGCGGCCTTTCAACTAACCTGGTCCCACAAAATATAGTGATGGCAACCAATTTGGGTAATAGTAAAAATATTAATATAAGGGACGCGGGTGGTGCTGTGGGTTAAACCACAGAGCCTAGACTTGCCGATCAGAAGGTCGGCGGTTCGAATCCCTGCGACGGGGTGAGCTCCTGTTGCTCGGTCCCTGCTCCTGCCAACCTAGCAGTTCAAAAGCACGTCAAAGTGCAAGTAGATAAATAGGTACCGCTCCGGCAGGAAGGTAAACGGCATTTCCGTGCGCTGCTCTGGTTTGCCAGAAGCGGTTTTGTCATGCTGGCCACATGACCCGGAAGCTGTACACTGGCTCCCTCGGCCTGTAAAGTGAGATGAGCGCCACAACCCCAGAATCGGCCACGACTGGACCTAATGGTCAGGGGCCCCTTTACCTTTACCTTTAAAAATATTAATATAGACTATAACTGCAAGTACTTGGCAATCAGTTTAAATGATTGCTGTGCAATTTTACACACATTTTACTTACTAAGCAAACTATATTATATTAATTTTACCAAAGTATATTTTGAACTCCCAAGTCATGTTACAGCTTTTTTTTGCAATCCTCATTTTGGGAATTTGAAAGTTGAAAAATTCAACACACCCTACTAGGCTGGGCCTAGGGTTTTACTTAGGGACTTGTGCTTGGATGTTCACATGGATTTCTTGTGCATGCTGCTTCCCCCAGTCGTCGTCATCATCATCATCATCATCATCATCATAACAACTTATTATTTATTATTTATACCCCACCCATCTGGCCAGGTTTGCCCAGCCACGCTGTGTCTTTAATATTCTGTTGGGAGCCGCCCAATCAAACATCAAAAACTTCCCTTATAGTCATTATAGTGGAGGAATAGAAAATCCACTCATGTAGAAGAATGCATACATACATCTGCTTCCTCCATTAGAATGAATGGGGTAGCACTCATATAAATCTGGAACCAGCAGCTGGCATCCTCAGGCGGCTGCCATGACAAGGCTCACTGTAGACGTCAGATTTTCCCCAAGCAACCTTCATGCGGCTATGAATGACCACTGTATTTCCCTTTCACATATCAAATGCCAGTCTCTCCAGTTATCATCCTTGAGGTTCAGGTGAAAGCAACGTGTTCAGGGTGGTAGAATCCAAAGGAACAGGATCTCTCCAAACTGGAGAGGCGACAACACGCCCAATAAATTTAGACTGGAGGTAAGCGTGACTCTGGTGGGACGTGGGTGGCGCTGTGGGTTAAACCACAGAGCCTAGGACTTGCCAATCAGAAGGTCGGCGGTTCGAATCCCCGCGACGGGGTGAGCTCCCGTTGCTCAGTCCTACTCCTGCCAACCTAGCAGTTCGAAAGCACGTCAAAGTGCAAGTAGATAAATAGGTACCACTCCAGCAGGAAGTTAAACGGCGTTTCCGTGTGCTGCTCTGGTTCGCCAGAAGCGGCTTAGTCATGCTGGCCACATGACCTGGAAGCTGTTCGCCAGCTCCCTCGGCCAATAAAGCGAGATGAGCACCGCAACCCCAGAGTCAGTCACGACTGGACCTAATGGTCAGGAGTCCCTTTACCTTTTTAAGCGTGACTCTGCAAGCACACACTAGACCACGCGGAAGAGTATCATACCCCACGCTACTGGAAGAGGTGATGTTCCACAAGTTCCCATTCCCATCATGCACTTGGATTAGTCACTGTGCAGAGCTAATATGGACTGCACTTTTGAGTAGGTGCTCCTGTACCTGCTCAAACAAGCCTGCTTGAAAAGTGTGGCACAAAGGAATGGTCTGTATGGCACAGACTTAAAAAGTTATGGATCCTCTTCTTCCTTACTCTCTTGGTAGCTAACAATAGCCCACACACTACTTGTGCAAGGTCTGCTGGATAATATTATTTTAGCCTTGGGGGCAAGTTAGAATTATAGAATCGTAGAGTTGGAAAGGACCAACTAAAGCATCCATGACAGATGCCCATCCAACCTCTGCTTTAAAAACCTCCAGAGGAGGGAAGTTCAACCACCTCCCAGGGGCATCTCTTCCACTGATGAACAGCTCTTACCGTCAGAAAGTTATCCCTGGTATTTAGCCGGAATCTCCTTTCTTGTAACTTGAATCCATTGGTTTGGCTCCTACCTTTCAGAGCAGGAGAAAACCAGCTTGCTCCATAGAATAGAATCATAGAATCATAGAGTTGGAAGAGACCACAAGGGCCATCGAGTCCAACCCCCTGCCAAGCAGGAAACACCATCAGAGCACTCCTGACATATGGTTGTCAAGCCTCTGCTTGAAGACCTCCAAAGAAGGAGACTCCACCACACTCCTTGGCAGCAAATTCCACTGTCGAACAGCTCTTACTGTCAGGAAGTTCTTCCTAATGTTTAGGTGGAATCTTCTTTCTTGTAGTTTGGATCCATTGCTCCGTGTCCGCTTCTCTGGAGCAGCAGAAAACAACCTTTCTCCCTCCTCTATGTGACATCCTTTGATATATTTGAACATGGCTATCATGTCACCCCTTAACCTCCTCTTCTCCAGGCTAAACATGCCCAGCTCTCTTAGCCGTTCCTCATAAGGCATCGTTTCCAGGCCTTTGACCATTTTGGTTGCCCTCCTCTGGACACGTTCCAGTTTGTCAATGTCCTTCTTGAACTGTGGTGCCCAGAACTGGACACAGTACTCCAGGTGAGGTCTGACCAGAGCAGAATACAGTGGCACTATTACTTCCCTTGATCTAGATGCTATACTCCTATTGATGCAGCCCAGAATTGCATTGGCTTTTTAGCTGCCGCGTCACACTGTTGGCTCATGTCAAGTTTGTGGTCAACCAAGACTCCTAGATCCTTTTCACATGTACTGCTCTCAAGCCAGGTGTCCCCCATCTTGTATTTGTGCCTCTCATTTTTTTGCCCAAGTGCAATACTTTACATTTCTCCCTGTTAAAATTCATCTTGTTTGTTTTGGCCCAGTTCTCTAATCTGTCAAGGTCGTTTTGAAGTGTGATCCTGTCCTCTGGGGTGTTAGCCACCCCTCCCAGTTTGGTGTCATCTGCAAATTTGATCAGGATGCCCTTGAGTCCATCATCCAAGTCGTTGATAAAGATGTTGAATAAGACCGGGCCCAAGACAGAACCCTGTGGCACCCCACTAGTCACTCTTCTCCAGGATGAAGAGGAACCATTGATGAGCACCCTTTGGGTTCGGTCAGTCAGCCAGTTACAAATCCACTGAGTGGTAGCATAGTCAAGACCACATTTTACCAGCTTCTTTACAAGAATATCATGAGGCACCTTGTCAAATGCCTTGCTGAAATCAAGGTAGGCTACATCCACTGCGTTCCCTTCATCTACCAGGCTTGTAATTCTATCTTCCATGTGAAAGCCGTTGAGATATTTGAAGATGGCTATTGTATCTCCTCTCAGTCGCCTCTTTCCCAGGCTAGACATGCCCAACTCTCTCAACTGTTCCTTACAACGTTACACACCTAACAGCAACAACAATAGAAAACATGAATGAGTGTGGCGGACAACAGCAGTATCAAATTCAGTGCAACTAAAACACTGTAAGTGAAGGAGTTTGGGATTCTCACCGAATTTGCCTTTCAGAGATTACTTAATATATTCATTAACCGCAAGTGTTAGTTATGTGAACATGTCCTAATGACACTTAAATTACAATAATAAATGCCCGCTGCCTCATGAATAATTTATTCCCTATTTGCATAGTCATCCTTATGCAGTTATTCCTGAGTAATTATCATACTGACTTAAAAAGGTGTCAAGGACTGAATAACTACATTCCCTTTCCTGGGCTCATCCTCTCCCTCCATTGGCCATGTGCATCTTTCTTTTGTAATTCTGCCCTTACCCCATGCCATCTCCGTTCAAAAACAGGCAAAGAGCAAAACGCCCTCTAGTCCAGAGGCACCACTTCAAATTTCAATAGTTAAAAGGGGGAGCAAGATTCAACAAGGTCAACCAGAACTTGTAGGTGAGGTGACAAAGCAGTGCACGATAAGAACATTTTTTGTCATTAAGGTTATTATTATTAATTAGTTGTTATTATTCAATGTATTTTGTGTGCATTTAAACCCCGACAGTCTCCAGATTTGGCGGACTACAATGCAGACCCAGGGTTTTGTTACTTCATATCATAATATTGTAACAATTCAAAAGAGACATGCAAAGCCTAAGATAAAGGTAAAGGGACCCCTGACCATTAGGTCCAGTCGTGACCAACTGGTCTTGTGGCGCTCATCTCGCTTTATTGGCCGAGGGAGCCGGCGTACAGCTTCCGGGTCATGTCGCCAGCATGACTAAGCCGCTGCTGGCGAACCAGAGCAGCGCATGGAAACGCCGTTTACCTTCCCGCCAGAGCGGTACCTATTTATCTACTTGCACATTGACGTGTTTTCGAACTGCTAGGTTGGCAGGAGCTGGGACCGAGCAACGGGAGCTCACCCCATGGTGGGGATTCGAACCACCAACCTTCTGATCAGCAAGTCCTAGGCTCTGTGGTTTAACCCACAGTGCCACCCGCGTCCCATGCAAAGCCTATGTCTAGCTTAATCATTCAAAAATGATAACTACTTATAATGGAATAGGTTTCCTCTGTCCTTCCATACATAACAGGAAGCTCCATAGCCTATCAGTTTGTTTTTCACTTTAAAGAGAATCTGCATTCTACGTGAATAACAGTTAAATTTTAGGAGTGACAAGAAAGCAAGTTCTTGGCTCCTGGTCTTACGTATGAAGTAAAGGACTCCTGGACGGTTAAGTCCAGTCAAACTTGACTATGGGGTATGACGCTCATCTGGCTTCAGGCCGAGGGAGCTGGTGTTTGCCCGCAGACAAGGACATTATACAGAAAAGAAGGTGGCTGGCCCACAGTTTTCATGTTTTATAAACCACATTGAGGTTTTCTTATAATCAAGCAGGATATAAATGTTGTTTTTTTAAAAAGTAAATAAATAAAATTGGTCGGGACTTTCCCTCGAAAATAAGGATGGTCCTAACCTTGCCAATGATTTATTCAGCTCCAAGGTGACCCCTTTTAAAACAATAACTGCAAGACTCTTCCAGTCCTTTTAATTAATTAATTTAAACTGTACACCCAATTTAGAATACACTGGGCTTTGTTCTTTATCTTAGGCATTCCAATTTATTTTGCTCGCAGAGGCATTTTTGGGAGGGTTAAGCAAATTTGTTCAAGAACTTGTTGAATAATTTGTTGGCATGAATGCTGACTGTTCATTCAGTGGCTGCTTATTGCTAGGTTTCATTGAGAGAAAGGATCATGCCACACTATCTGTCTTGAATAACAGGCCTGGTGAGAATCATATGAAGGGCCCACTGAGGGCATCTTATCCAAGTTACATGGGTGGCACTGTGGTCGAAACCCCTGAGCCTCTTTGGGCTTGCCAGCCAGAAGGTCGGTGGTTCGTATCCCTGTGATGGAGTGAGCTCATTGCTCTGTCCCTGCTCCTGCCAACCCAGCAGTTTGAAAGCACACCAGTGCAAGTAGATAAATAGGTACCGCTGCGGCGGGAAGGTAAACTGTGTTTCCGTGAGCTCTGGCTTCCACCACGGTGTCCCGTTACGCCAGAATTGGTTTAGTCATGCTGGCCACATGACCAGAAAGCTGTCTGTGGACAAACGCCAGCTCCCTCGGCCTGAAAGCAAGATGAGCCCATAGTTGCCTTTGACTGGACTTAACCGTCCACGGGTCCTTTACCTTTTTACCTATCCAAGGACATTGTTGCAACCCCTCTCCAAAGAAAAACTGGAACCAACACTACAAACCTCTTAAGCCCTCCCCATGCCCAAGGAAGTATGGTTCCCCCATGCCCAAGGAACTATGGTTCTGTGAGGACTACATATCCTCCAACATTTCTCCAATTAAAATATGGATTGTCCTGTTTAATGATGATGATGATGATGATGATGATGATGATATTATTTATAGCCCACCCATCTGACTGGGTTGTCCCAGCCACTCTGGGCAGTTTCCAATATATATAAGATGATAATAAAACTATACAGGGCTGCCTTCAGATGTCTTCAAGGTTATATAGTTACTTATCTCCTTGGCTCAGGGGACACATAACTCCATACTCTTCAATATTTCCCAGGCACGTCCTACCTTACCCTCTTTTAAATCTTGCAAAACCAGAAGAGAAACTGCATGGGAACACACCCAGAGTCAGGCACAGTGTGGGCTTAAGTGTGTGGCTCTTCATTTGGTTTCCCACGTTACCTGAAGGGCTAGCATTCCTCCCCTTTGGGATTTGTGCCTAGTCAAACTTCCACCTTGTAAGAAGTAAAATCCACAAGGGGATTTCAGAAAGACGCCAAAATGGATGAGGCAACTCCCCTGTTTCTGTTGATAGGGGGGGTGGGGACCACATACAGCTAGTTAAAAAAGAAACAGGGCTTCATTGGTTTGGGGGCAATTACAGATAATGAGATGGATGGGAATAGATCATTTCAATGTCTTGGAATATTTTAGCTGAAATCAAGTCTCTCCAGTTTCGTTTTCTCCCCTTCTGTCTTCATGCAACATTCCCACAGGAGTATGAAGCTCAGGCACCAGGAGAAGCTACTGGGGATCTTCTAAGCTTTATTTACATTAGAAAGGATGATTCACTTGGGAGTACAAGCTACACAGGGAAAGGGGGAGTATATGGCACAGTCTGCTACTATAAGGCCACATTTTTAAATTCTGCGAACCTGATCTCAGGTTAAGGATCTCTAGATCTGCCCCAAATGTTCACACCCTGGTCAGAGCCTGATGTCCAGTTTAAGCGCAACTTGAAATGGACTTAAACTTATAAGGATCATCTATTAGAGGGAGGCAATGACTGAGGAAGAGATTTCAATGGCAATTCAAATACCCATCTTCATTATACTTCTTGACGTGCGAGGGTTGATCAGGTCCACGCAGGCTAAACTGGTGAATTCCATCTTGAAATGGAAGTAGTTTCAACTAGCAAAAATCCAAATAACTGCTGTTGTTTTCAGTAAAGGTTTCTGCTTCTTGCACACAACAAACCAGTTGTTCCAACTTTCCAGGGACAGTCCCTTTCTCTTTTAGGAAAGTCACTATCTTGCTTTTTAAAGGCAGAAATCAAGTATGCTTTAACAATATATATATATATATATATATATATATATATATATATATATAGTATGCAAGGGCAGGGCATTTGGTTCATACTCCCCCCCAAAACACAGCAATCTTTTGAAATGTGCGCATCTCCAAATTTTGTAATTGGAATTCCCCAACCAAATAATGAACACAAAAATGTGCATATTACGGGGCAGTGTAATATGTCCAGTCACGAACGAGTCTGGGGTTGTGGCGCTCATCTCGCTTTACTGGCCGAGGGAGCCGACGTTTGTCCACAGACAGTTTTTCCGGGTCATGTGGCCAGCATGACTAAGGCGCTTCTGGAGAAACCAGAGCAGCGCATGGAAACGCCATTTACCTTCCCGCCAGAGCGGTACCTATTTATCTACTTGCACATTGACGTGTTTTCGAACTGCTAGGTTGGCAGGAGCTGGGACCGAGCAACAGGAGCTTACCCCGTCTCGGGGATTCGAACCGCCGACCTTCTGATCAGCAAGCCCTAGGCTCTGTGGTTTAGACCACAGCGCCACCCGCGTCCCTGTCTATATATATGTAACTTCCCCTAATATGCACCTTTTCATATGCACAGTATAGGGCATTTTTTCATTTTATCCCAGTATATGCAATTTTGTACACATTACTTGGTGGGGAACTGAATTGTAAAATTTAGAAAAGTGTGCGTTTCCAAGGATGGCTGTGTTTCGAAAAGTGTGAACCAGATAGGTTTGGATTTTTACATGTGAACTGAATTGAATTCCCTCCCCCATCCACAGCTGGAACGCAGTCCCTTCAAACACAGTTAAATCCTGAAAAACAGTTATTTAGATATCTAACTTACTGAAAAACAGTCTCAGCAGGAAACTGACAAATTTACTAAGTTCACTTTAATTGACAGAAGTCTGTAAAAAGAAATATACCGGGTGCTAATCAGACACTATTGCCACAATTGGACAATCACCATCCAGAGGCTCAGATCTGAGATGCAAGATAAATGATCCAGCCATGGATAACCATCTCATCAAAAAGAAAAGCAAATACAGTGGGTACCTCGGGTTAAGAACTTAATTCATTCTGGAGGTCCGTTCTTAACATGAAACTGTTCTTAACCTGAGGTACCACTTTAGCTAATGGGGCCTCCTGCTGCCACTGCCGCGCAATTTCTGTTCTTATCCTGAAGCAAAGTTCTTAACCTGAGGTACTATTTCTGGGTTAGCGGAGTCTGTAACCTGAAGTATCTGTAACCTGAAGCATCTGTAACTTGAGGTACCACTGTATTTCAATTCTTTAAATAATGATTTCCATGTTTCTTTCAAACCCAAATCCGTTGTGCTTGCTTTGCGATCCCTGAGCCTCGATTAACTTTCTTCCAAGGAACTACTCACGGGGATAATACACAGACAGACTTGCTCACACAGGTTACAATCGTCTACTTAGCAGTGAGCAAAAACATAGAAGCTATGTGTAATATGTGAGGCCGGTAGGACCCTGGCTTCTGACAATCAATATTTAGAGCTGGAAGCAGAAGATGGCTGCAATTTAAGTGTTGCACCCAGACAGAAGAGTTGTTGGCTTGCTACCTTGCTGTCTGACAGCATGAACCACCCAAAGAGCTATTTTGCTAACCAGTGATTCGTGCTAAATATTCGCTAACCTGCCAGGATTGTTTTGCAGAATCCTAGCACTGACTGGAAAGGGCAGTTCTCCGAGTTATTTCTTATATTGCTAAGCATATCTGACTGTGCAAGATCCAAGGAATTTGGAACGGCTGGGAAGTTATGTGTATGGTATTCATTAGTTGTCCAGGGAGATGGTCAGGAGTGGGGGACATCGCAACACTTTTCTATGCATATTGTAAGGCGTTAGGAAAGCAATGTGGGAAGCATATGCAAAATCGCTGAATGCTAGTGCTTGCATCTGGTTAATCTCATCATCCAGCCATCCTGCGCTCCTGACACAGGCCCAATTCAGACATGTATCTCATGCAGCATCCTTGCGCTGCTCCTTTTCTCCTCTTTTGCAATGCACTTCCCAAGTTAATTATTATTTAATTATTATTTCAGTGTCTGAACAGGGAAACTGTGGTTCCCAAGATCAGACCAAGCCAGGATCTTAAACCAAAATGAACTGTGGTTGGAGATTCTGTTTTATGCCAATCCAAGCAACCATCGTTTCAAAGTTTGGCTGAAATGGGAAACAATGGATTAATTAACAATGAATTAAAGCAGATTCCGACTAAACATCAGGGAGAACCTTCTGATGGTAAGAGTTGTTTTACAGTGGAACGGGCTCCCTCGGGAGGTGGCGGACTTCATTTGAGGTTTTGAAGCAAAGGTTGGACGGCCATCTGTCATGGATGATATAGTTGAGCTTCCTGCATTGCAGGGCATTGGACTAGATGACCCTCAAGGTCCTTTTCAATTCTTTGATTCCATAACCCAGAAAATATTGAATTGTCAGTACACTGAGAAGGAAAGAGGGAAGGGACAACGCATGGGTGGAACATACAGGTGCAAAACATAATAACTCTAGATGTAGCAGTCTGAGACATGTATATGCAAACTGGGCTATAGCAAGACTTCACACAATATTTTACAAATGTATAAATTTTAGAAATTTTTGCACTTACCAGCTTAGTTGCTGAGGGAGGTGGTTTCAGAACTTTCTGGCATGCTGTCACATAACGTTGTTATTATTCGGCTAGTCTTCTGAAATACCAGGATGCCATTAAAAATCACCTTGAAACAAAAACATTTCCTTGCCTTTTAAATTGTTTTCCCACAATAGTTCCTTTCAATATCACCACCAGAGTAGCTGTCTTGATCAAAACCTTAGTGCCAACGAATTCTGTTTGTCTAACACAGTGATGGGGATCCTGCAGCCCCTTAGCTGTTGATGGACTACCAATCCCCATCATCTCTGACCACTGTCTATGGTGGCTGGAACTGAAAGAGAATAGAAGTCCCAGGTTCCCCATCCCTGATCTACTGGCTTCCTTTGAAATATTTAATACATTTTCACTGAGGAGGAAATCTCCAAATTTCTCTTTCGGCAAAATCTTTGAGAGACAAATCTCTTCTTTTCACAAAATCGTTGGGGATGGATTTATGCAGAACTTAAAGCAAAGTTCTTTTGCCTTCCCTCATAAGCCTAGATGTTTTCCTTACAGGAGAACCTTCAAATTCACTTCATATTTAACTTCATGTGAAATTTGGTGGAAACCCTATTTAACACTCATAAAGTGAGTGACAGAAGTGTCTCAATAAAAGTGGAAAAGGTGCCATGCCAGGCTGACAAGCAAGGCTATGAGGTCTATATTTCCATTCTATAAAGTGGTAATCAGCATAAAGGCCTACATCCGAAGACCGCCGAGGGCCTCTTGTAATCTGAGGAGTGCTTGGCTTGAGCCCATATTGCTAACCATCTGGTGCCTCAGCATAGCCGTAGTCTCTAAAGACTGGCTATTCCAACAGTTATCACATGCCCTGTTGTGAACACCAGTCTCCCGTTGGTGAACAATTACTCACATAATTGGAGTTTGTGGCCGATGTCAATCCAAGTGAGGAATTTGCCATCTGGCTGCTTGTGGCATGATATGCAAAAGGTAGAGCTACAAGGCGGACTATTTATTTATTGCCCCTTAAATCATCCCACTCTTCCCTCTGAGAAGCTTTCAGAACAATCTCCCATCTTTCCTACCCAGATAATGACCAGGTTGAAGCCCTTTGAAGCTTTAACAATACAAGTGGTGTAGCAATAAAACTGCTAGCACATTTGCAAAGCTAAGCAGGTCCCGCTGTGGTTTTAACTTGGATGGGAGACAGTGTGTTGAGATACCTGCATTGCAGGGGGTTGGACTAGATGACCCTGGGGGTCCCTTCCAACTCTACAATTCTATGATTCTAACAGCATAGCTGGCATATAGTTCTGTGGTCAAAAAACAGTCTCTCCAGTTAAAGAGCTTTGCCCCCAAATCTTAGAAAACGTTTCCCAATTAAATCAGACAGTACTGGACAAAAGAGTCTGACTAAGTCTGAAGTAGTTTTACATAATTACTTCCTGAGCCTAGAAAATCCCATTTGATATGTATTTAATTTATTTTAAGTTACTTACTTTCCACTTTTTAAAAATATCCATTCCCAAAAGCATCTTAAATTGTAAAAATAAAAAGAGCCCAAATCATCTCAAAAGCACAGGAGCTTTATAAACTTGTAGGGGGAAAAACAATCTTTATAAATAGGGATGGGGAACCTATATCCCTCCAGAGGTTGTTGGACTACAACTCCCATCATGCTTGACTATTGGCCAGGTGCTGGGGCTGATGGGACTTCTAATAATTGTACCCCGCTCATATGACTGAGTTGCCCCAGCCACTGTGGGCAGCTTCCAGCATATGGGGCTTCAAGTCAAACAACACCTGGAAGATCACAAGTTTAGACCCCTAGTCTAAAAACAGGAGAGGGATTTTGCTGAATCTCCTTAGAGATTTCTGTAGTCACAGTGCCACCACTGAGAAAACCCTCTCTCTGCTCTCTGCCAATGGAAGCAGGACCTCCTATGATGATATAAAACCTGGGCAGGCTCACATACTTAAAGTTGGCCAAAATAGCCTGGCCCTTGGTGGCAAAGGGCTTTAAAGTTTATATTACTTGATGAAGGTATGGCATTTTCGTCCACCCTTCCAGAGACCGTTTTACAACACCAACTTCTCTCTCTGATTAGCCAGTCTATTTTGTGTCCTAAGATATGGTTCAGGGCTTCATTGTAACGTTCAGAGACTGATCATGAGCCCTGAGCCAAGTTTACATTTCTTGAATGCTACATGGATTTACTTAACCTCCCCTCACCCACTTCAAGGATCTCTTAATGTTTCCCCTGGCATGCTGTCACTTCCTTACATTGCAAAGGAAATGCTACTCTACAGGCCATTTCTATATAGAGAGTAACCCCAAACAGTGATGAGCTTTTACTCAAAGCATTATCGGTAGGAATCAACATCAGTAAGATTCCTCCATGCAGGTAGCTGAATAGGGTTCCCTAGTCTCCAGGAAGTGCTTTTGAGACTTTTGACCTCTCAAGTTCTTTCATTTGTTCTTAAAAAAACATTTTGGATTTGAAACATTTTGGATTTTGTGTCCTAAGATATGGTTCAGGGCTTCATTGTAAAGTTCAGAGACCAGCCAATGCTCATCTCTATGTGCCTAGGCATTGAAATATGGTGGCTAGCAGACCCTAATATTTAAGGTCAGCCAAAACCTCTTCCGTCGTCACCATTTCAAAAACAAAACAAAAACCTAATAAAGCACTTCTCTCCAATAAGCCAAGTTCTTTTATGTTAATTAATCACCCAGCTATCAGCTGGCCAAGCAATATATACTTGATCCTGATGGGACTCGACTGGCGAGCCTGCTGGCAATTTTAAAGTCAGTCCACAGCTAGCAAGGCAACCTGCCCAGAAGACCAGGACCTTGCCGTGGGAACCAGGGGTTTATGCTGCTATCTAGTGCAATGGGAAAGGGAAGGTGGCAGCGGGAATAGCTGTGAAATTGGATGAGAGAACTGAACTGTTGCAAAGGATTACTCCATCAAGCTGTGCGTAATTTACTTTAAAATGAAAGTAGCAGATTGTAAGCCTGCTGAAAGTTGTGTGTCGTGCCATGCAGCTAAGTTACTTGGCGATCAAGGGAAAGGGCTCTTATGTAGGGCTAGTATCTGAATTGGCTAACCAACCAATATTTTACCAGAATGACCATTAAAACCAGGTTCTGCAAGGAAACCATAGCTGTTTAGCACCTGTAACAAGGTGCAGGGGGTGGGGCCTGAATCCATTATACTTTAGGAATGAAGAAACAATCCCTTATATCAGGAACACAAAAATTCAGTTTATGATTCATCAGCCCAACAATCATGCATGCTGGTCTGCCAAGGGTTCAACTCTTTTAAAAAGTAAGTTTTTAATTAGGATTTCATTGCTATCAAGAGTGAGTTCAATACCTTTGAAGAATTTCCACTTCTTGGAGGAGGGGGTTTACTTCAGAGTACAGTGGTACCTCAGGTTACATACGCTTCAGGTTACAGACTCTGCTAACCCAGAAATAGTACCTCGGGTTAAGAACTTTGCTTCAGGATGAGAACAGAAATCGTGCTCGAGCGGAGCGGCAGCAGCAGGAGGCCCCATTAGCTAAAGTGGTGCTTCAGATTAAGAACAGTTTCAGGTTAAGTACAGATCTCCATAACGAATTAAGTACTTAACCTGAGGTACCACTATACAGTAGGGGACGCGGGTGGCGCTATGGGTTAAACCACAGAGCCTAGGACTTGCCGATCAGAAGGTTGGTAGTTCGAATCCCCATGATGGGGTGAGCTCCCGTTGCTCGGTCCCTGCTCCTGCCAACCTAGCAGTTTGAAAGCACATCAAAGTGCAAGTAGATAAATAGGTACCGCTCCGGCGGGAAGGTAAACGGCGTTTCCGTGCGCTGCTCTGGTTCGCCAGAAGCGGCTTAGTCATGCTGGCCACATGACCCGGAAGCTGTACGCCGGCTCCCTCGGCCAATAAAGCGAGATGAGTGCCGCAACCCCAGAGTCAGTCACGACTGGACCTAATGGTCAGGGGTCCCTTTACCTTACCACTATACAATATTAATTTTGCACAGAATAGGTCCCCTAAAGCAATTTGTTATTTCATATTTTCCCAAGCTATATTCATGGGTTTACATTTTGGAGAGATACCACGTTCCCTCGACGAGCCTACCAATCAATACATACCGCTTTTGTATCAAACACCACATCACAAAATGCAAGGATATTAGTTTGGGCTGCGATCCTAAGGCAAAAACTACGGGGCAGTGCATGGGGAGGACTTAAGTTGTGATGGCTTCCCCTCAATGGTTGTGGTCATGGGATAGTGTTTCCCAATCAATGCCACATCTCTCTGGGGTGGAATTAAGAGTGACTTTATTATTTTTTAAAAATAACTTTTAAGGAAATGTGGTTTCTAATCCTAGGTAAAGGTAAAGGGACCCCTGACCATTAGGTCCAGTCATGACCGACTCTGGGGTTGCGGCACTCATCTCGCTTTATTGGCCGAGGGAGCCGGCGTGCAGCTTCTGGGTCATGTGGCCAGCATGACTAAGCCGCTTCTGGCGAACCAGAGCAGCACACGGAAACGCCGTTTTCCTTCCCGCCAGAGCAGTACCTATTTATCTACTTGAACTTTGATGTGCTTTCAAACTGCTAGGTGCGCAGGAGCTGGGACCGAACGGGAGCTCACCCCGTCGTGGCGATTCGAACCGCCGACCTTCTGATCAGCAAGTCCTAGGCTCTGTGGTTTAACCCACAGTGCCACCCACGTCCTGTAAGATTTGCCTAAAAGAGGCATGAGTGTTGTAGATAATAATTAACACATTTTCTAAATATAATCATAATTGATTTTATTTCCTCAGACAGAGGGCAATCATGAGGGCAGAAGGAGGCTGTAATATCTGCTGATCATGAGCCCTGAGCCAAGTTTACATTTCTTGAATGCTACATGGATTTACTTATCCTCCACTTCAAGGATCTCTTAATGTTTCTCCTGGCATGCTATCACTTCCTTACATTGCAAAGTAAATGCTATTCTACAGGCCATTTCTATATAGAAAGTAACCCCAAACAGTGATGAGCTTTTACTCAAAGCATTATCGGTAGGAATCAACGTCAGAAAGATTCCTCCATGCAGGTAGCTAAATCAGGTTCCCTAGTCTCCAGGAAGTGCTTTTGAGACTTTTGACCTCTCAAGTTCTTTCGTTTGTTCTTAAAAAAACGTTTTGGATTTGAAAGTTCTGCCCCAAGCACATGTTCCATCTCTGACAGTTCAATTGTCACTAGGGATACATATCAAAAAAACCCAAAGCAAAATCTGCCTGGACGATCAAAATCCTCCCAGGGTGATGTTGTCCACAATGACCGTGTTTTTCCTATAGTACTTCCTGCTGTTTCAGAGGTTTCCAGTGCAAATTGGACTAGAAACAGAGAGATAACATTAAAACAGTTTCCTCCTCTCTCAAAATTCTAGCTTCTTCCAACAGCTGATTGGAAGAATGTTTGATTATACTGGCTTTATGGGCAATGATTTCATGAAAACGTCCTTGCATTTATAAAACCTGTGCATCAAAGAGCATAATAGATCCATCCATCCTACACGTTTTTTCCCTTAAAAACAAAACAAAACAGGGGGGAGATCAGAATGATTGTGATTATGTGGAGGAAGCAACTGGGAGACTTTTTTTTTTTTTTTGCCACTAAAGCAGCTGCAGACAGGGGGCATCACTGAAGACTACAGGGAAATGTGGGAGTCTGGTTGGGAGAGATATTTGAAGTCATTTGCATCATTAATCATATATAACAAATTTCAACATGCAGATTGTCTTGGCACATGTAAACTGTTTTGATAAAGTAAGCTAGTTTGGGGGGGAAATAGTTTGAAAAGCGGGGTAGAAATAATTGTATCAAATGTTCCATGTGCGTGATCTCACTGGAACAATTGGACTTCTGTTTACTCTCCTCTCCCTGCCACACTCTAATCTTCACTGGAGGGTCCCCCAACTGCCCAGAGCTGATTATGGGAAAGTGGGCAGTGCCAGACCCTGGGGTCTCAAATTTCTGTGTCTCCCACTGCCTCTCACCTTCCATTCCACATAATACAGTGGTACCTTGGTTCTCGGACATAATCTCTTCCGGAATAGCATTCGACTTCTGAAACGTTTGAAGACCGAGGTGCAAAGGGCTGGCTGCAAGTTCAATTGGGAAAACTGAAAAACACGTAGCAAAAGCTGTTCAACTTCCGAGAAGTGTTCAAAAACAGAAGCAATTACTTCTGGGTTTTCAGAGTTTGAAAACCAAAACATTCAGCTTCAGAGATGCTCGAAAACCGAGGTACCACTGTAGTTGCTGCACCCCCAAGGCTCTACACCCAGTGTGAACGAACTGGTTGCGCTCCCCTAAATCCGTCTCTGGTGTGGGAAAGGAGAGGAAGTTCGGTTGTGTACATGGAAGTCCCTTGCACCAGTGGAACTATCATGTTGGCTATAGCCCAGAAACTTGCCATCTTGCTTAATATGTGATTTTAGCCATTCAGAAAATATAGCAGCAAAACTATGACTTTTTCAGTATACAAAACAGTCGACAGGGGTTTTTTTGCACAGCGAAAAATGAATTCATTCCTTGGCAAATACAGAACGGCATACCCCCATCACTCACAAATACAGACTAACCAGATGGACTTTCCTTGGTAGGTATACCTTTAAATGGAAATTGTTCACGTCACATGGTTTCCCTTCATGGTAACTCCTATGCATGTTCCTTTTCTCTTTCCACACCAACCACATTGTGTGTTGTTTCCACCCTTCCAGCTAACAACTGACCTGGCCTCCAATATTTTCACCGCCATTGGCTCAGTGACACTGGCCTTGTTACTGATCTTCCTTCTTGCGGCCACAGCTTCCGTCATAACTTCCAACAAACGGGCTACCCAAGGAACCTACAGCCCCAGCCGCCAGGAGAAAGAGGGGTCCCGAGTCGAAATGTGGAACATGGTACAACCTCCCCCAATGGAAAGGTTGATCTAGCTTGAACTCTTGCTGTACCTCTTACGTATATGGAAGTCTCCGGCTAGAATGGGTTGTTCTGGAGACCAGGGAAAGGAAACCCCTCTAGACCATGATGACCTCTGCCATTTAACTCGACACCTTGGTCAGTATCCAAAGCATCATGCACATTATCCCAGGTGTACCTGGGGGCTTTTCTGCTTGCCCCTTTCACCAGTAGCCTCCGATTCTTCTGATATTCATGGAAGCCTTCATGAGATGTGAGGGACTGCATTTGGAAAGGGAACTGAGCACTCAGACACACATACCTGGAAATACTATGGGGCCGCAGATCTCATTTCCCACTTTCTGGAAATTCTTATTTATTGCACTGGAAATTTTAGCTTTAGTCGAATCGCCTGTAGGCTATAAAGACTGCAATGACTCTAGTATACTTGTTAAGTGCCTGCATTTCAGATACAACTGAAGCCACATATTTTGTTTCATTCCCTGTGCATCTGCCTAGCATTCACCATCACTGCAAAAGACAAAGCGGAACACTCATGTAACCCCAGATAATCTGTCTGCCGTTCAATCATCTCAAGAAGTTTTAGGAGTAGAGGTCTTTCTCAGCAGCACAGCTATCTTAATTCTTTAATCAGGGACTAAATTAATACTGCGGGGGAAAGCTCTTCATGCAGCAAAATAAACATTTCAAATGATCACTGCTTGGTGTGTTCATTGCACCTCTTTTTCCACCAGGTTGTTCTAGATCATGTTTGGGGATCTAGATGTTGCTGAACTACAACTCCCATCAACCCAAGGTGAACATGGCCAATAACCAGGAGTGATGGGAGCAACATCTGGAGGACAAATATTCTCTGCATCTGTTACAGATCTAGAGGAAGCTATAGTTCCTTTCACGGAGAATAAACTGTTGGTTTTTTAAAAAATGTAGTTCCTTAATTTACATCAAGTTGTGAACCTACAGCTTGCTAGACCCCCCCATAATTTTGGACTATTGATCTTGCTGGGTGGGGTTGATATTGAGTTTAAACACCCAACATCTGGAGGGCCACAGGTTACCCACCCTGATTGACCTACTTTTCTAATGAAATTCAAAGCAGCCAGAATTGTAAAATAAGAAACCAACACCCTGCAATGACCTACCAGATACTATATCCACCTCCTATTCCCTCCTACTCCCTCCTGCTAGTCCCTCCTAGTTCCTCCTACTAGTTCCTCCTCCTAGTCCCTCCTAGTCCCTCCTCCTAGTCCCTCCTAGTTTCACCTCCTAGTCCCTCCTAGTTCCTCCACCTGGTCCCTCCTAGTTCCTCCTATTAGTCCCCGTAGTCCCTCCTAGTTCCTCCTAGTTCCTCCTCCTAGTCCCTCCTCCTAGTCCCTCCAATTAGTCCCCGTAGTCCCTCCTAGTCCCGCCTCCTAGTCCCTCCTAGTCCCTCCTCCTAATCCCTCCTAGTTCCACCTCCTAGTCCCTCCTAGTCCCCCCTCCTAGTCCCTCCTATTAGTTCCCGTAGTCCCTACTAGTTCCTCCACCTAGTTCCCCCTAGTCCCTCCTCCTAGTCCCTCCTATTAGTTCCCCTAGTCCCTCCTAGTTCCTCCACCTAGTTCCCCCTAGTCCCTCCTCCTAGTCCCACCTATTAGTTCCCCTAGTCCCTCCTAGTTCCTCCACATAGTTCCCCCTAGTACCTCCTCCTAGTCCCTCCTGTTAGTTCCCCTAGTCCATCCTAGTTCCTCCACCTAGTTCCCCCTAGTCCCTCTCCTAGTCCCTCCTGTTTGTTCCCCTAGTCCCTCCTAGTTCCTCCACCTAGTTCCCCCAGTCCCTCCTCTTAGTTCCACCTCCTAGTCCCTCCTAGTTCCTCCACCTAGTTCCCCCTAGTCCCTCCTAGTTCCTCCACCTAGTTCCCCCAGTCCCTCCTCTTAGTTCCACCTCCTAGTCCCTCCTAGTCCCTCCTAGTCCCTCCACCTAGTTCCCCCAGTCCCTCCTCATAGTCCCTCCTCGTAGTCCCTCCTAGTCCCTCCCAGTTCCTCCACCTAGTTCCCCCTAGTCCCTCTCCTAGTCCCTCCTGTTAGTTCCCCTAGTCCCTCCTAGTTCCTCCACCTAGTTCCCCCAGTCCCTCCTCTTAGTTCCACCTATTAGTTCCCCTAGTCCCTCCTAGTTCCTCCACCTAGTTCCCCCAGTTCCTCCTCCTAGTCCCTCCTGTTAGTCCCCCTAGTCCCTCCTCCCAGTCCCTCCTGTTAGTTCCCCTAGTCCCTCCTAGTTCCTCCACCTAGTCCCTCCTCCTAGTCCCTCCTATTAGTTCCCCTAGTCCCTCCTAGTTCCTCCACCTAGTTCCCCCCAGTCCCTCCTCCTAGTCCCTCCTAGTTCCTCCTCCTAGTCCCTCCTAGTTCCTCCTCCTAGTCCCTCCTCCTAGTCCCTCCTGTTAGTTCCCCTAGTCCCTCCTAGTTCCTCCTCCTAGTCCCTCCTCCTAGTCCCTCCTAGTCCCTCCTATTAGTTCTCCTAGTCCCTCCTAGTTCCTCCACTTAGTTCCCCCTTGTCCCTCCTGCTAGTCCCTCCTAGTTCCTCCACCTAGTTCCCCCAGTCCCTCCTCCTAGTTCCATCTCCTAGTTCCTCCTCCTAGTCCCTCCTTGTCCCTCCTGCTAGTCCCTCCTAGTTCCTCCACCTAGTTCCCCCAGTCCCTCCTCCTAGTTCCATCTCCTAGTTCCTCCTCCTAGTCCCTCCTTGTCCCTCCTGCTAGTCCCTCCTAGTTCCTCCACCTAGTTCCCCCAGTCCCTCCTCCTAGTTCCATCTCCTAGTTCCTCCTCCTAGTCCCTCCTCCTATTCTCTCCTAGTCCCTCCTAGTTCCTCCACCTAGTTCCCCAGTCCCTCCACCTAGTTCCCCCTAGTCCCTCCTCCTAGTCCCTCCTAGTCCCTCCTATTAGTTCCCGTAGTCCCTCCTAGTTCCTCCACCGAGTTCCCCCTAGTTGCTCCTCCTAGTCCCTCCTACTCCCTCCCTACTAAGAGGAGGGACTAGGAGAGGGGCTAGGGGGAACTAGTTCTCCTAGTCCCTCCTAGTTCCTCCACTTAGTTCCCCCTAGTCCCTCTTTGTCCCTCCTGCTAGTTCCTCCTAGTCCCTCCTAGTTCTTCCACCTAGTTCCCCCAGTCCCTCCTCTTAGTTCCACCTCCTAGTCCCTCCTATTAGTTCCCCTAGTCCCTCCTAGTTCCTCCACCTAGTTCCCCCTAGTCCCTCCTCCTAGTTCCACCTCCTAGTCCCTCCTAGTCCCTCCTAGTCCCTCCTAGTTCCTCCACCTAGTTCCCCCTAGTCCCTCCTCCTAGTCCCTCCTACTAGTTCCTCCTCCTAGTTCACACACACACACACACACACTTTGACGTGCTTTCGAACTGCTAGGTTAGCAGGAGCAGGGACCGAGCAACAGGAGCTCACCCCGTCGCGGGGATTCGAACTGCCGACCTTCTGATCGGCAAGTCCGAGGCTTTGTGGTTTAACCCACAGAGCCACCCACGCCCCACAGAAAGCATCTTAGGTAACCTGCAAGCCCCCTATCCCTTTCCTAGAGATCCCAACGCACCCCTCAGTGGAAACAGAGGCATGCCTTGTAAGAGCTCAACGTTCCCTAACAGACATTACAATCCAGGAGTAACAAGTCCAGGTAAGTGACGCTCCTCTGGACTGCTCTAATAACTCTTTGTATGCAAGTCAAAGCTAGCACCCAGAGGAGAAGACTACAGGGCAATCGTGTATGACAAACATAATAATTGGCAGCACTCACCACCCCCTTCTGTACTGCAAACACCACAGTTCACTGAATGGATCTGTTCTGTTGCCTACTGGCACACGTCAAAATGCCGGCACCATGTCACATTTCTAAGAAATGCATCCAGTTGGTGTCTGAGGAAGTGCTCCCTCTGTTAAGGAAAGGGTTTAAGAGCCTGGGTGAAAGATATTGTCAGGGGTTCAGAGAGAGAGGCACAGGGTAGGCAGGAGATGGAGAGCGAGGGGGAGGAATTCCAAGCCAGCGAGGAAGAGGATGACAATGACTCAAGGGATTCCATGAGTCTTTCCAGCGAATCAGAGGATTCCCAGAAGGGGGCGCCGGTGGTCAGGGCCAGGGAGCCCCAGGGGGGAAGTGTCAGGAGCAGGGTGCCAGCGGAGGATCCCAAAGTGGCAGCTGGGCGTCAGGACCAGCCTCCCCACCAAAGTGCAGTGAAGGGGGTGGAGTTTCCAGTGTGTCAGAGGAAGCAGCTCCAGCAGCAGAGAAAGGAGGGGGGTCAGAGCAAGCCGCCCTCCCGGAAGGGGAGGGAGCAGTGAAGGGAGTAGTGTAACTGTCAAAAGGAAAGTTAGAGGTTTGGCGCGCGCGCCTAGTTCAAATGTAGAGGCGCGCGGAAGTGCAGGGAGTCCGGAGGAGGGGCCAGGTCCCAAAGCCCGCAGGAGGGGGAAGAGCAGTCTGATTCCGCGTCAGAGGAATCCAGAAGGGGCGCAACCCCAGGGGGCAGAAGGACCCTGCGGAAAAGGAAGGAGAGAAAGAGGTGGAGCAGCGCAAGTCTCTTAAATTGGTGCAGAGGAGGGACTGACTCAGAGGGGACTTCGGCGGTCTAGCGTAAGAGACGTAAGGCTGCGCGCCTAGGATGTCAAGCAAACCATGAACTGCAATAAACACCTTTGTATACAAGAAGACGTAGGCGTTGGTCTTTTGTGAGCTAAGACTTGAGGCAGCCTTGACAGTAAGTCCCCTCTCTGAACAAAAACCGCAAAAATTTTCTTTGCACAGCTCACGAAGTTTGGCAGCAATGACTACTGAGGAGCAGATAGCGTCCCTGCAAAACGCAGTCACCGAGCTCTCCACTGCCGTCGTGGTTTCTCAGAAGACAGTTGCAGAAGCAGAAGCGCGATGCCAGGATCTGCAAGCCAGGTGGGATCGGGCGTGCAGAGAGGGGTTCCCGGGGTCCAGATCAGAGGGAATCGGACTGGGACGAAGGGGGGGCAATTTAGTAGCCCACTTCGATGGGAACCTGAAGCATTATCCCAATTTCAGAGCAGACGTCGTATATGCACTGCATTTACTTCGAAAGGACTTCAAGGATGAGGAGGAAAAAGTGGGGTTCATTGTGTCGCACCTGCATGGGGAAGCAAGGAATTGGTTACGCAATTTATGGCGCGAAGATGGTCTTGCACGCAGGGACTCTGATGAATTTCTCAAAGCCATGGACGCTTGCTTCCAATCTACTGTTGACGTTGATGTGGCACGTCAGGAGATGCATGGATTGCGGCAGGGCAAGGCTACAGTGCGTCAGTACCATTCTCGCTTTTTTGCATTGCTGAATGTGCTGGGCTGGGAAAAGGACTCCCTGGCAGTGAGGGACTTGTTTTGGGAAGGGCTGCATGGCTCAGTGAAAGATGAGCTGGCTAGGGGAGACAGACCTCAAACCCTAGCAGACGTCGTGCAGAGGGCACTCACGATAGGGGTGCGCCAAGAAGACCGCCCTTGGCACAGGGAGGAGGGGCGTCACGTCCGCCCACCAGCTAGAGCGCCTCCTTTTCCTTCCAGGGACTTGGAACGTTCAAGCCTTTCGCCTGTCCTGGCAGCGGGGGAAGAACAGATGGAACTGGGTGGTGCAAAGGCTCAGACAGCTGCCGGAGCCTCAGCGTCAGGAGCAGTCAAAGCGAAGCCTCCTAGAGGGACCAGGAAGTGTTACATCTGTGACAG